GCTTATAGGAGGTGATTCAGTAAAGAATTCCTCGAAGTCAAGTGGGTTGAAGGTCGAAGTGGGAAGAGCTGCCAAGCGACTCCGTTTTTCAGAAAGATTAGTTGACAGCTCGGTCCTTTCTTGCTCCTCGGAGAAATCTGCTTCATGGATTTGATCCAGCAGAATCAGGTTGCTTTCATGCTCCTTGATATCTGACTACAAGTCTGACTTAGCCTTCTCGGTTTGCATGAAGCGAATGGCCCCTTGGATCAATTCCATCCCGCGTCCCTTAACCTCCTTTCTGGCCTTCGAAGCCGACCTTGCTAACTCAGAATCACGCAACTTGGCTAAAGCTTTATACTTCGCGTTGAGCTCGATAAGTTGGTTGTTCAGGGTATCGGCGGTTGATTCGGATTCATGAAGTCTACCCTGAACACCAGAAAGTTCGTCCTGGAGTTTTGCAGCTCCCCCTTTACCTGCGCCAGCTCGGATGTTAAACTGTCAACCTTGTCCTCCAGATCGTGCTTGGAGCCAGCGGAAGAATTGAGTTCAGCCTCAAGAGCTGAGAATTTCTTCTTCCACATGTCAATCTCCTTCTCCTGTCCAATGACCAACCCTTCGTAATGTTCGATCATATCGTTAAGTTCGCTATGAGCCTGGCATTATAAACTCGGGATGGCGAGTCAGTTTGAAGAATGGCGATACGTAAAAAAAAAAAAAAAAAAAAAAAAAAAAGAAGAAAGGAACTAACCCGAGATGAATGATAAGCGTGAAGCAAATAGCGTTCATGAATCGCAGGGCGCCATTTGTTGAAGTCTGGCAAGATCGAACCCGATCGGGTCTTGAAGCATCGGAAGACGCTGCCTTCTTTCTCCATAGCTGTGAAGAAGGAAGGGTTGTAAAAATTGGAATTTTAATAGAGACAAAAAGTTTAAAGTATGTGTAAATCGCCAAACCTGAAAGCGATTTGACTTGAGGAACAAGAGCAGGCTTCAACCTCGAGGAAGCATCTCGAGATTCAGAATCTCCCCTTTTAGGGGATGCACTCTGAGCAGTCTTTTCGCTGACGGGCTGGGAAGAAGAAGACATGTCAACAGGTCGGGGAGGACCCATTGGTTCAGTAGGAGGGGATGATCGAGGTGAACGGTCAGTCCGGGCCCTTGATTTCTCCCTTCGCGGAGACGAGTCATCACGGGACGACTTGTCCCTCTTTTTACGAACCAGATTCTTAAGTGGTTCGTTGTAGAAATCGTCTCGGGAAGGGCGAGGAGAGTCACAACGAGGAGACCGCTCTCTCCGAGGAGAACGTTCGTCGCGGCGCTCGCGGCGAGGTGTCAACCTATAAGCAGCAACGGACCTGGCTCCCTCGGAGCTGTTGTCATCAACCAGCAGGGTCCTGCTGTAATCTTATTTGTCGATGGCGGCCGCAAGGAACGCCTTGTTTTCATCACAAACCTCTGCTATCGGCTTGGAGAGTTTCTTACGCTGGGCAGCGAGGGCCCGAGCTGACATTCCCTGAGTTGAGGGAGGAGGCGGAAGACGATGAAGTAGATTGGGAAGACTCATCCTGAGTTTTCGGTTGGCCTCGACAAATCGGTCAAGGGTGAAAGAATTCCAGAGGGTTTCCCCTTCAAGGATTGTTTTGAAGAACTTGACAAATTCTTCGGTCGGAAGAGTTGAAGCGATGAGAGCTGCGAAATGAAACAACGAATTTGGTCAGTAAAAAAATAATAATGAACAGGAAAGGAATATACGACCTAGTCTCTACCATGTTTCGTAGACCACTTCGATGGGAGTACATCGGAAAGATTCCCAATCGAAGCAGGAGTTTTCTTAATCAAAAACCAAGGATGATGCCAGTTTTCATCCTTGTTCGGGAGGTGCGAAATAACGTTTCTATTGGCATTTGGGTATGCCGAGAAGTATCCTGTTTTCTTTGACGAACTCCTCACACTTAGAAGTTCATTCAGCTCGGGGACTCCAATGACGTAGCCGGCCTCCGCCGCAACGGTTATAATCCCGAGGATGGTTCGGAGGAGATTAGGGGTTAATTGAGGTAAGGCGATCTCGAGAGCCGCCAAGAATCGAACTAGGGCTTCGGGAAGGGGGAAGGTCAGTCCGCAGCCCTTGAAGTAAATTTTGTAAACACAAAAGTAGCCGACACGATGGTTCTCCGGGGATTCCGTAGGGTCGGCTATTTGCGCCTCCGCTATGATTTCAGGAGGAATTTGACAGAGCCCCTTTAATCGCTCAAGGGACTGAAGAGTACAGGTGGATTTGTAATGAGGACCGGCAATATCGTTAGGACGAGTGCATTCATCATTACTAGAGCGCCTCTCGTCGTAAGAAGGAGATTCAGGTCTCTCGGAATCAGAAGTCATCGGAGAAAAATGAAAAATTCAAGATCCGGCGAAGAGAGTTTTCGTGAGGAAAGATGTCAATCGGGTAAAAATGGCTAGTGCCGAAATTAAGGGAGTGATGAGATTTTTGGCGGGAAATCAGGAAGATTCTCGGGCGCAATCTTTGGTCATTTACAGCATTTAAAGTCCTCCGAATTGGAATGACACTTCGAAGGACTTGGGGGGCTAATTGTTGGTGTCGGATCCCGCACCAGAAGTCCGGGACCAACCAAAGATTGCCACGTAGTCAAGGTAATGGCCCATAAAGGGCAAAACCCGTTGAGCCCATGAGCCGAAGGAACGGTCGAAGTGGTTATCACCACTTCGAGAATCCGAAGTGACTGCACTGTGGTGCGAGTTCGGTGTAGAAGACACGGGTAAGTCAGTTCGAGGAGACTTGGGCCGAAAAGGCGAGTCCCAAGAAGATCATAGTCAACTCAAATTCAAACGTTGAGCATTAAAGTCGAAGAATCAAAACGGACGCATTTAAGAAGGAATAATTGTACTTAATTACTCATTTTAATATCGTTTTTCTATGTATAAATAAAAGGCCAATGACCATGTAAAAGGGGATCGGCCTCTCGAGAAAGAAAGAATATAGCAATTTTCGTAGCAATTCATAAGCTTTTTACATATTCATTTTTTGTCCCTCAAGAATAATCTTTCCTACTTAATAAAATACTTGAGTGTGTGAATCCGACATCCACATTTTGGCGGCCGCAAGGAACGCCTTGTTTTCATCACAAGCCTCTGCTATCGGCTTGGAAAGTTTCTTACGCTGGGCAGCGAGGGCCCGAGCTGACATTCCCTGAGTTGAGGAAGGAGGCGGAAGACGATGAAGTAGATTGGGAGGACTCATCCTGAGTTTTCGGTTGGCCTCGACAAATCGGCCAAGGGTGAAAGAATTCCAGAGGGTTTCCCCTTCAAGGATTGTTTTGAAGAACTTGACAAATTCTTCGGTCGGAAGAGTTGAAGCGATGAGAGCTGCGAAATGAAACAACGAATTTGGTCAGTAAAAAAATAATAATGAACAGGAAAGGAATATACGACCTAGTCTCTACCAGGTTTCGTAGACCACTTCGATGGGAGTACATCGGAAAGATTCCCAATCGCAGCAGGAGTTTTCTTAATCAAAAACCAAGGATGATGCCAGTTTTCATCCTTGTTCGGGAGGTGCGAAATAACGTTTCTATTGGCATTTGGGTATGCCGAGAAGTATCCTGTTTTCTTTGACGAACTCCTCACACTTAGAAGTTCATTCAGCTCGGGGACTCCAATGACGTAGCCGGCCTCCGCCGCAACGGTTATAATCCCGAGGATGGTTCGGAGGAGATTGGGGGTTAATTGAGGTAAGGCGATCTCGAGAGCCGCCAAGAATCGAACTAGGGCTTCGGGAAGGGGGAAGGTCAGTCCGCAGCCCTTGAAGTAAATTTCGTAAACACAAAAGTAGCCGACACTGTGGTTCTCCGGGGATTCCGTAGGGTCGGCTATTTGCGCCTCCGCTATGATTTCAGGAGGAATTTGACAGAGCCCCTTTAATCGCTCAAGGGACTGAAGAGTACAGGTGGATTTGTAATGAGGACCGGCAATATCGTTAGGACGAGTGCATTCATCATTACTAGAGCGCCTCTCGTTGTAAGAAGGAGATTCAGGTCTCTCGGAATCAGAAGTCATCGGAGAAAAATGAAAAATTCAAGATCCGGCGAAGAGAGTTTTCGTGAGGAAAGATGTCAATCGGGTAAAAATGGCTAGTGCCGAAATTAAGGGAGTGATGAGATTTTCGGCGGGAAATCAGGAAGATTCTCGGGCGCAATCTTTGGTCATTTACAGCATTTAAAGTCCTCCGAATTGGAATGACACTTCGAAGGACTTGGGGGGCTAATTGTTGGTGTCGGATCCCGCACCAGAAGTCCGGGACCAACCAAAGATTGCCACGTAGTCAAGGTAATGGCCCATAAAGGGCAAAACCCGTTGAGCCCATGAGCCGAAAGAACGGTCGAAGTGGTTATCACCACTTCGAGAATCCGAAGTGACTGCACTGTGGTGCGAGTTCGGTGTAGAAGACACGGGTAAGTCAGTTCGAGGAGACTTGGGCCGAAAAGGCGAGGCCCAAGAAGATCAGAGTCAACTCAAATTCAAACGTTGAGCATTAAAGTCGGAGAATCAAAACGGACGCATTTAAGAAGGAATAATTGTACTTAATTACTCATTTTAATGTCGTTTTTCTATGTATAAATAAAAGGCCAATGACCATGTAAAAGGGGATCGGCCTCTCGAGAAAGAAAGAATATAGCAATTTTCGTAGCAATTCATAAGCTTTTTACATATTCATTTTTTGTCCCTCAAGAATAATCTTTCCTACTTAATAAAATACTTGAGTGTGTGAATCCGACATCCACAACTTCAACATCAGTTCCTTATCTCACCAGTTGGAGGGTAAAATGGTCATTTTACAAACACAATGTGGTATGAATGATAATTGGGCTTCCAATGTGGTAGAAGTGATAACTTTTGGACAAAATGTGGTACCAATGCTAATTTTCCCATAAAAGTATTTTTAAAAAGCTATGTTTTATTGTATAACTATTTGAGATATCATTTTATATTGACCTATCTATACTATTAATTGGGAATCATTCTAACTTAAATAACCTTATAAAGTGTAAAAAATTACAAAGATTGCCATTAGAAAAATTACATTCAAAGACTAAATTTAAAAACACGTGGAAGGTTAAAAGCATAATTTGATAAACAAAGATCCATGGATAATGGGCTATTGGATCGGTTATTTATAAAGACTGATGGGCTAACTTGAGAAGGCACACGCGGATCGTATACTTGACCCGGCCACTCCTTAGATTGATCCTCACCGTTGATTGGGATTGAGCATCACGGTTTATTTGGATTGATATTCTCCGTTGCGATTTGGCAATCTAACATAATTACAAAAACAAATAAGTAAAGATAATACCTAAACAATCATATCCCTTTAATTTCGAATTCAAATTAATATCACAACAAATTTTGTTACTATATAGTTACCAAAATATATAAACTAAATCAAAACAATATATTCAAAACCTCTTAAATCAAGAATATACCTAAAATGTCTATTCAAATAATTGATTTGCAAACATATTATTGCGTTCTAATATGAAGAACCCTAGACGTCCTCCATCCCTTATAAATATAGAAATTAAACGACATTCTCAATACTCAATAAGCTATCAAACCACCTCTATACCTCTCAAACAATGGCTCTTCCCATCATCGAACTTAATGCAGTCAAACCTTTCAAAACTCAATAGAAGATCCAAATGAAAATCGTCCATTCGTGGACTCAATACACCCAATACTCCGGGGAGATTGTCGAAATGATTCTTGTTGATACATCTGTAATCATCTTTTTACCAATAGTATAGATTAACTCTTCTAATTGTTATGTTATACTATATTAATTACTTCTCTCTTTATGTCTGAACAGGTCCAAGGAGGTATGAAAACGTGTGTTTGGCAAGTAAAGGAATCACTAAATTAAGTTTCCAAAGAAGAAGTGATACCCAACCCAACTTTTATGTTATTTTCATGTTTTCTTTTTACACAAAATCGTAGACACATAAACTATAACAGCTTAACTTTGTTTTCCAAAAGTATTATGTCCTAATACCATCATATTCAGTAATATGAAGTTAACTATTTCATATTTAGAAGTAGTAAGGGTTATTACTGCTAAACCAAACAGTCGGATCAATAATAGTATAGAAAATCTCACAACTTACTACTTCTATTAACAAACAAATACAAAATAAAGCTCCAACAGCATAACAAGCAACCAAATTACTGTGTAAAAATTTATGACATATTTAATTAGTAAGTAGTTAATCTATACTTATTCAACCTAATTTGAAAATCAATACAGTAGGTCTATATTGTTATCACCTAATCAAAAGTGTTATCTTGAATATCTTATTAACCTTTTAAATTTATATCTCTAAAAACCTCCAAATACAACACCAAATATCTTTCCTCCTTCAGAATCCAACTCGCAACTGATCCTTGGTCTGCAGATTTTTAACAGTGATATATCATTACTAAGAAACATTACTGTTTTAATTTAAAAGGATTGTACCAAATTAAAATGTGTATAAGTACTTAGATCTGTGATATATCATCACCAAAGCATAGCATATAGAGCAAGTGACATACATGCATCATAAAAATTTCATTTAAGAAACAGACAGCCTCAACTTTGTGATTAGTAAAGAAATTTTTGCAACACTAATCATTATAAATATAGACAGATACACCAACTAAATTAATCATATTCTACCGAAAGAAGTATCAATGATATGGATTCTTTTCCAGAATCTTACACAATGATTGATGGCCATAATATAAAAAGAAGTAAACCAAATAGGAAAGAAGAAGCAGAATCAAAATTGTGAAAAGCAAACCTTCAAAGTTTGAGGTTTGAGAACAGACAATCGGCTTGAACACAACTCTACGAAGACAACCTGTGATATCAACAACTAAATGATCAGTTGATCTAAGGGTAATAACTAATCAAATTTCTCTGGGTTATTCACAATCGTTGAATAAGATCTATAATACAACACCAAAAAATTAATGGTAGAAACTCAATAGACAGATTTTAAAACAGTACAAACAAAAATCTAAGACAAGAGAAACTTACCTATTTTTAGATCTAATAATTTGTCAACCACGATGTATAAGCGAAGACGAATTATCAGGATTTTGTATCGATTTCGATACAAATTCGTCGATCGACCGACAACGAGAATTTTCTTTGATTGTAATTTTTTTGCGTTTCAGACAACAATTCTTGAACAATTATCTGTCCAGATAATAAAAAACATAAATCTTTAATGCTTTGGGACCAAGATTTTCTGAAAATTTTACGGCCCATTACAAGTATTTTGTTTGAGACTTTGGCCCACGAAATAAAAGTCTCTCTGACCATGTTTGTGACAAATAATGTATTCATTTAAAACATTTGCCAATATAGATTTGAATTTTTTTTCCTTACTAAACTAAGTATTAAACACAATAATTATGTTACAAAAAAAAAACACAGTAATATGTTATATTATCCAACTATATTTTTTTTACAAAATATACCGAAATACATATTTTCGAACGATTTGATCTGTTCCCCATACTAATATATTCAATCCTGTAATTTGTTACATAAATCTATTTTAAATAGTTATACCAATTTCAAATTGATACACACACATTCAAAACCTATATGACATAAGTTTTATACTCAGAAAATCGTATGTTACCAAAACCCCGCACGTATATGACATAAGTTTTATACTCAGAAAATCGTATGTTACCAAAACCCCGCATGTACGTGCGGGTCCTGATCTAGTATATCTTAAAATCGGATCTATATAGATTTTTTTCTTTTTTTCTTTTTCAAAAGTGGTAAATTATTTCTTATGTAGATTGATGATGTCAGGATCACTTCTTTATTGACTGTATTATATAGGCAAATTTTCAATTGGCAACAACAAATCACATAATTTAAAAAATATTCTTCATATATATATATTGGATATTGAGTATGAACAACTGGAAATATAAACCTAGAATCGATACTCTATGTTCAAAACTTCAATCACTAAAAACAAATTCTACCTTTTGAATAAATCGGACTCCAATATATTTTGGAGAAATTATGTAAAGTAGACATTTTTTTTTTTTTTTTACAAATAATTTGTAAAGTAGGTAGTTTTTTTTTTTTTAAGAAATTAGAAGAATAGACACATACACTTTCTTTGACAAAAAAAAAAAAAAAAAAAGAATAGACATTTTTCTCTTTTCTCTCTAATACAACTTTCTCTCTAATAGAGATTTTAGTAAATGACTTATATATCCTTTGTTGTTTTGTTATGTATAGGGGTGTCAAAATGGATAAAAGTTAATGGATCAATCCAAACCAATCCAATCCATGGATATAATGAATGAGAAATTTGGATACTAATGGATTAATGGATTTAATGGATTAGTGAGTTTAATGAATTGGATTGAAATGGTTTATGTTAGAATGGATTAGTGGATTACTCATAACCAAACCAATAAAAATTAAACATTCTAAATCAAATGTCTAAACCAAATATAATCAAATCAAATGTCAAAACTGATTTTAATAAACCAATGTAGACATGATTTAACTATTAAATCCATGAAATAAATTTTTCCGCCAAAACGTGATTCAACATTTTCCCGCCAAAAATGCAATTCCGTAAAATTTTCCGCTAGAAATGGAATTTCGCATTTCCTGCAAAAAATATGATTCTACATTTTTCCGCCAAAAACGTGATTTCCTATTTTCCCGCCAAAACCGTGATTCCGTATTTTCCCGCCAAAAATGTGATTCCGTGATTTTCCCGCCAAAAAGTGATTCCACATTTTCCCGCCAAAAATGCAATTCCGTAAATTTTCCCGCCAAAATGTGATTCCGTGATTTTCCCGCCAAAAAGTGATTTCACATTTTCCCGCCAAAAACATGATTTCGTATTTTTCCCGCCAAAAACGTGATTCCGTATTTTCCCGCCAAAACCGTGATTCTACATTTTCCCGCCAAAAACATGATTCCGCATTTTTCCGCCAAAAAGCGATCCGTATTTTCCCGCCAAAAACATGATTCCATATTTTCCCCCGCCAAAAGCGTGATTCCGGATTTTCCCACGAAAACGTGATTCCGTGATTTTCCCGCCAAAAACGTGATATCATAACTCATTTATGTCATTAATTATTATTTGTAGCATATAGATGATAATATTTATTAATTAATTAATTATTTTATTTTCATGGATTAACTCATTTAACCATTAAACCATCAAATAATTGGATTAATGGATTGACTCAATCCATTTAACAAATGAGTTGGATCAACTCATAAACCATTTAAGCCTAAACTCATTGGATTATGGATCGGTTTGAATCGGTTTATCCATTTTGACACCCCTAGTTATGTAGCAAGATAAAGACAAAACTATTATTTTTTCTCTTTCTTCTTTTAACTGAAACTTAAATACTTTTATTTTGTTTTGTTTTGTTAAAAATTCTTCATAAAATATTATTACATAAACATATTTATCTTTAAAATTTTTAAGTGAATCTAAAAAGTTCAATTTTGCTATATTTTACATTTTTTTAATTTAATCTCAATCCGTCGGTGTACACAATAATGTAAAAAATGGTGTACAATTTATAGTGTACGGCGATAATATAAAAATTAATGTATATTATTAATGTAAAAGTGGTATACAATATGTAAACAGTGTACAAGGTGGTGTACAAACGACAATTGATAGTGGTGTACACCTACATAATACGATGGTGTACGGAGATGATGTAAAATATGGTGTACATAAAACGATGAGATAGTATGTCGCACCATATACCACCTCGTGTGTAGTCTACAATATCGTACACCCACCTATTTTGTACTTGTACACCACATACAAAGAAAGAACCATTTTTGTCAAGTGATAATGTACAAAACAATATTTACACAATAGTGTACGAGATTGGTGTACAGAGGAGTGTACAAACGTTAGTGTACACTACGTAGAAATGTACAAACATTATTTTTTATTTAATGGTATACACCATCGATTATATTCATTGGTGTACATGATGGTGTACACCATTATATTTAGTATAACCTATGGTTTATATTACAATCGTGTTTGTATTAATATTATGAACAATAATTACTTCAATTTACAAATATAAGACAAATCGATGTAATTAATGATTTGGTGTACAAGTTAGTGTACAAAACTATGTTTAAAATGGTGGTGTACGAGATTGGTAGCAGAATATATACAAGTCATCTTTTTTTTTTTTTAGATTCTTTTCAGAAAAAGAAAACCAAAAAGATTAAGAAAAAAAAGTAATGATAGAATATAATTTGATCCAATAATATAAAAGATTTGAACCCACACAAAAAGCTAACTCACAAAAGACAAGGGGTAAAGTGGTATTTGACTTCTTTCTTGTCTTTTAGTCTATTACACACTACTTCTATCTCACAAAAGGATATAAAAAGTGTCTATTTCACAAATTTCTAAAAAAACTACCTATTTCTCAAATTACTTTTATAAAAGTGTCTACTTTGCTAAAAAGCCCTATATTTTGTCTAAAAATAGTTGGTATTTTTACTATACATGATAAAAATAGTTAATTCTAATATACACGCGGATTCCTCCTTCTTTTAATGAGATTTTTTGACCAATTTAACCTTTTCAATTTTGATTAGCAATGTACAAAATTTAAAATCCAATTGAAATTGAATGGTAATTTAGACCATTTTTTTTAATTTGTACTTCTCTTTTAATAGTAAGAGGATTAATTTTCTTTAATATATTTAATATATTTTTGTTTTCAAAATTAATTAATTAATTAATTTTTTTACCTTTATTATGAATAATTAATATTAAAAATAAGATAAAAGGAGTAAAATCAACTTTTTTTTGTGGAAGATAGGAGATAAAGGTCTCCTACACTTTATTCATACAAGAAAGAAAATTACAAACAGACATTTCGCAGGTAAGCAGATTCATTCACATACGGACTATCTAGTCTTTCGAGATAAAGTCATAGCACAAACGTACTAGGAATGATAGCGTATGAGAATCACCAATCCATGTCTTAAGGAAACCAACTACCAACTCCGAATCCACCTCCAACTCAAGACGAGTTATCTTACGCTCCAAAGTGATATAAAGCCCATAATAAAACTCCCCATAGTTCGGCTAATGGTGACTCTAGTAAAATCAACTTTAGATTAACATTTTAAAAAGATTTTAACACAAAACTAATTAATTAAAGTATATCATTTATTATTTTATTAATTTTGGTAAAAAAAAACTCAGAAAATCATTATTTCTGATACATAGAGAGTGTTACAATGGAAAAGACATTAGGTAATATTTATGTTTCATATTGATAAATAAGTAAACTTAGCAAGCAATTTTACAAGAGCAGATAAGTTCTTCAGTAGGGCTACACTCGCATTGGAAAACCTTTTTTTTATCCTCCTGAGCAAAAGCTTCTACACATGCCTTGGGATTGTTTTTGTCACCAAGTATGTCACACTTATTAGGTCGTTCAGTGAAACTACTCCTTATATCACATACTTTCGCCTTTCGAGCCTCTATCTCTGAATCACACAATATTAAAATATACAATTAGAAACACAGCATATTTAAAATTAAATTAACCATGCTTTACACCATTTTTAATGGTGCTTCAAATTTCACATTTCTTTCATTTTGAAGATAAGAATGAAGAAATCTTCTACAATGGTACTTCATTTTCATCTTCTAAATGAAAGATTGAATAGTGTATCTTCATATTTGAAGGAACACTATTTATATCTTCATATTTTGAAGATGAATTTTTTTATTTACAAAATAATCCTTAAATTTAGAACAAGTTTTTACTTTATATCAAACAATTTATTTATTTTTATTTTATCCAATTAATTTAAAATTTTCATATTTTTATTTGACCCAATCATATTGAAATGCAATAATAACTTATACTAGATAGAAAAACAATCAAAATACCCAACATAAAACATAAAATACATAATTAATACCAACACTAAAGATAAAAAAATATATATAACATAGAATTTATAACAACATAATAATTTGGTAATTCGCTTCGGGATCAACTAAATAACTAAATAATTGCCCAAATGTTAACTTTAGATAAAATTTGTTGAACTATTAGTTTACTATGAAATAAATGGCGTAAAATTTAGGGAGACTCACAAAAATGTCCCTTTTTCAATACCCCTTTTAAAAAATGCCCCATTTGGCTGTCCATTTTTAAAAATACGCCTTTTTATGTACAAAATGACTAAATTACCCTTCTTTTAATAAAAGATATCACAAATATATAAGGAAATATAACAAAATTAGGTCCACAAAATACAAAATATTTTTTGGCGGGAAAAGTGATCCCGCAATTTTCTCAGCCAAAACACTTGTAAAAACTTGTAAAATCTTTAAAATACCTTGTAAAATTTTCCTGTAAAATTTTTTCCCGCCAAAAAATTTTTTGCGGAAAAAGTGATTCCGCAATTTTTTTGGTGTTAAATTTTTGGCGGGAAAAATTGACAAGGTATTTTAAAGGTTTTTTACAGGGTATTTATAAGGTTTTAAAATGTATTTTAAAAGGTTTTACAACGTATTTATAAGGTATTTATAAGATATTATAAGATTTTACAAGCTATTTTATAAGGTTTTACAAGTTATAAGGTTTTACAAGTTTTTTATAAGGTTTTACAAGTTATAAATATCTTATAAAACCTTATAAGTACCTTGTAAACCTTTTAAAATACATTGTAAATCTTACAAAACACTTGTAATACTCCGTAAACCTTTAAAATACCTTGTTACTTTTTCCGCCAAAAAAATTGCGGAATCACTTTTTCCGCAAAAAAAAAATT